CTGCCACGTGCTGTGCACCCCACAGACACGATTCCCAACCCCCACGAAGCACCTGTGAACTAGGCCTCAGTGTCCCAATTGGCCCTTACAGGAGTGAGGGCCGAGGGTCCGTGTAGCTGGCCCACGGCTGCCCCGAAGTCAGACCCCGAACCTGGATTCAGAGCCACGCGCTGTCCCGCAAACCCGGCGCCCTCTTCCCTAGGGACCGTCATGCATGAATGAGAGGACCCGGTGACGAGAGGGGCCACTCCATCTCCCCTAGCCTCTCCTGCTTCTGAGTAGAAATAATCACCATTCGCGGTGTGGACGGCATCTGCCCTGCCCTTAAAGGAGACTGGCCACTTCCCGGTCCACGTAAGGCCCTGCTCAACCACCTGATGCAGTTTAGCGCTGTGGACCAGCCCCGTAATATCTAGGCAGGAGACTCTGGTTTGGTAATTCTGGAAAGTTTGAACTTCCAGGAACTGGTGCTTTGGTGTCTTGGCCATGTGCCCTGGAATGGACTGAAACAGTAAAGAATCTTCAGGCTCGTGTCCCCGACTGCAGGCACAGAAAGCGGCCTCGGCGATGCCGCCTTTTCGTTCCGTCGCCACCGAAGTCACTGGCCGAAACGTGAAGCCTTGTCCGGGGCCTGTCCGACAACACGCCACACCCAAGGGACCGCCCCAGGGACACGCCGCGATGGTGCGGACCGCGGGGACGCGGACCGGGCCTGGGGTGGACTTGAAGGAGACGGCCCTTCGTTCCTTGCATCCCTCTCTGGCCTCGCTCTGCACGTGGCCTTAGGGAAGAGCAACAAAGTAGATGTGACGGATGGGAGACCCCTCAAGGGCCTCCCTGCAGGTCCCTCAGAGTGGATTCCTCATTATGAGTCTCCGTATAAGAGTCGTTAAGGTTAACTATTTACCATTATTCTGGTTTACACTTGCCAGGCAGTGTACACATTTATTACGCATATGTTATGCCTGAATGCTTATTTCAGATACACTTACGATATCAGAAAAGCGCAAACAGCCCAAATGTCATTTTGCTTGGATAGTCAGCGTGTGGTATGTCTCTACAACAGAAAATTATTTACCAACGGAAAGACAGGAACGGCTCATCACCCACCAGACTGTGGGCGAACCTCCAAGCCACCATGCCGGGCGGAAGGGGCCACACACGGACAAACGCCCGTCCTGTGGGATTCTAACCCCGTGGCGCCGAACGGTCTGACCCAGCTGATCGGCGGTGGCAGAACCCGGACTGCACTGGCTTCCCCCGGCGGGTAAGGCGCCAACGGGTGCCGGGGACATCTCCCACGCTGAGGGAAGCAGGATGTCACGGGTGCAGGCGCCCGTCCGACTCGTCACCTGATTCGTTTGAGACCGGTGCCTTTTTTCTTTATGTAAATTATGTTTCAATTTGGAAAATAAAAAGCCTGAAAAAAAATAAACAGCTTGGAAGACATACAACGCTCCCAGCTGTGGGAGGAGGTGGCAGCCCCTCGCGGGTCCTGCCGGCGGCACGCGCCCTCCCTGCAGGCGCCTCTCTGTCCTCGTGCTGGGTAGCAGGCCAGAAACAAGGACACGGATGAACATCCCGCATAAAACATCGCACATCACGCATCAGCCTTTCCACATGAAAGGCCGTGACTGGAGAGCAGAAGTTTTCTCGAACCCTGTTCCTTGGGGCTTTAAAATAACAGGGACGTGGTGCACGCAGGCGCCTGAATGCACCACGTTTGGCTTCTTTCATCCAGACAAAGCCTTGTTTCAGGAGCTGCCACACAGGCACCGCTGCAGTTCTCCTGATTTTACCAGAATGAAAGCCGGAGCACAGGTCACGCGCACATATTAATATCACTGGTACGTATTTCATCATGTTTTAATATCTACTGAAAGTCGTTTGGCACGTTTCCTGTTTTCTTCTAAAATGAGTGCTATTCTTGAAAGGCCTGGCTGGAATTTTAATTATAAACCGGCTTCCTTTTCTCCTCCTCAGTTAGGACGGCACCAAGAGTGTGTGCGCCTTAATTCCATGGCCTGTAACGTGTGCGGGTGCTGGAAGAGTCCCGTCTGCGTGAGGCCAGGTCCTGCTCAGAGGAAGCTCGGCGTGAGCCGGGCGGGGGGCGCGCAGACTCGGGCCCAGGAGGGGATGCGATGCCCGGAGGAGCAGCTGTACGGGAAGGGCCACTGGAGAGAAGAGGAGGGACCCCTTTTCCTGCAGGGGGAGGGAGGAAGCAGGTGATGGATGGCTTCCCAGAGGGACGGGAGCGGCGGGTCACCGTGTTCACGCAGCAGCTGTGCTGCCCGCCTGGCGCTCCTGCATGGATGGGGACACCGTGTCAGGCCCGGGCACACAGGTGCGACCGCGACCACAGGTGGTTTATGCTCTGGGTCCATGTGGCCAAGCCAAGAAGTAAACTAAGGTTCCCCTGCCTGCTGCGCTCTTCCCACCCCATTTTACAAAACTAGACCCAGGCACAGAAACGGGCTTGACGTACGTTCAAGGTTATCTTCTTTTTACGTCCTTTTTGCATCTGAGGTAATGGGAATGGCAATGACTAGAGAACTCCAAAGACCACTAGTTTTTTAATGCCGCCGCTTAGCTGTTTTCTTAGGACATTCATTCTATTTGTTCGTTTACCTATTCAGGCAGCATTTATTTATTCATCCCTTTCTGTGTATCCGTGAGGGCCCAGGGAACTGGGATATGAAGACAAGTAAAGAAAGTGATCTCACTGTCTAGTAGAGGAAACAGACAAGCAAAACCCCAAATGCCATGCGCTTCCTTTGCAGCAGAGGCTGAAGGGGAAACGCCCCTGCAGTTTCCGTGGTGGCTGCACCGCTGCGCATCCCTACCAGCAGGGCGCGGCCGCGGTAGACGGAGGGCGTGTCAGGAAACGGTGCACTTGGAGCTCGTATGAACCTACTGTCACCGCAATAAATTTGATTTAGAAAAAAGGAGAGGAGAAATTAATTCTGGTGCAGCTCCGCCGCGGAGCTGCTGCTTCGGCGTCCCTGGGAGTGGGGTGCAGGGGTCCGCATTTCTCGCAGGTGTTCCACCGGGGACTGAGGCGCGAGAGCTCCGTGCCGCCCGCTCGGGGGTCGGCACTGCAGGTGGCGCCCTGCCCCGTGGGCTGGGCAGGCATAGAGTGACACCTCACACTCACACTCACAGTCACACTCACACACGCTCACAGCCCGGCATCACGAGGAAGCAACAGGCAGGAGGCCACCTGCTCCCTGGATCCAGTGCGCTTGGGTTCCCTGCCAGCAACGGTAGCCGGAGGGGGCTGTCACCAGCTGTCCCTGCCCCGTCAGCCGTGCAGGAAGGCCAGGAGCACAGAGCTGTTGCTCCCAGGCCGTCCTTCTGCTCCCCCGTCTCCCCGCTGAGGAACGGTCCTATAACCTGATCACACAGGTGGCATCTTTTTTTTTTAAACAAGTGACGATGCTGGAAAGTACACTCGCTCCTCTGACAAGGCTGGGCTCACCCGGAGAGGGTCTGGGCCCAGGGGCTGGCCTTGGAAACCAGTGTCCACCCCTGCCGCCCACACGTGGCTCCCTCGCTGGCCTCCCTTCCTTCGAATGGGCACACGTGGGGACGGCGGTGCAGGTCCCCTGGGATGAACGGCACCAAGCCACCGCGGCTCGCACGGGGCCATGCGGACCCAAGATGACCCCCTGACTATCAGATCCACCGCAACGCGAACCACCTGCACGACACGTTCACGCTGAATGAGTGTGAAGCTGCAAATTTTTCTCAGTTACGAACAACCTCAGTTCACGGACGGTCACTGCCAAAGGCAAGAGCGCTCACTGTCTAAATACTGCAGACACAGCTTATGGTGACGTGATCAGTTAGACTGAGGAGGCTGCGCAGGCACAATCTTGCTAATTACAGTGTTATAAATAGTCGTGCCACCCAGCCTTTCTGTCTGAGGGCCCCTCAGGGGCTGACCCGTCACCGCATTGTCCTGGGACGCACGCTCGGAGATCTTGCTTCTCTCGCCCTTTTGGTTCTCATGACTCGACTCAGAATCATACACGCTGCCCTTCGAGAAGGCATTGTTTTTGGCCAGCCGCTAGCAGAGGAGGGGCGACATTTTCCATCAGAGCCAGCGCACCTCAGGCAGTTACCCGACACGGCTCTTCCTCGCGCCCCGGGCCCTGCCCTCCGCGGCAGAGCACCCCGGTTTTTATTTTCCGTTCTTTTTCATGTGACCTGTTTCAAGTCAGGATTCATTTGAATTATTAAATGCTTCCTTAAAGAATCTCTTTATGCTTGCTTCTCTTTCTTAAAAGTTAATTATTGATGTAGTGACAAGCTGAAAAGACTAAGAATTATAATTCTTTCCTCCCCTCATTCAGGGCTCGAGAAATGTCTTCTTACAATGGTTGTCTATTTAGGATAACACAAAGGAAATACAAAGGCGAAGCGCTGAACGTTGTTGGAGAAAAGGCTCGCTAAAATCACTGTATTATGCAAAACGTAAACGTAGTGTACATTGCTCGGAAAACAGCGGTTAGGCAGGAAGGTGGGTGCAGCCTTTGGAGCCCAGGTTTAACCACATCGCAGAGGCAGTCACAAAAAGCACTGATTAGATTTTACTTTTAAAAACTTCATCATATTCTTCAGGGCTCCAGTGATTTGATTATCTTGAAAATAGAAAGGGAACGCTACAATTTCCAGAGCTTGTTAAGGAATAAAGAAATCGCCAGCCTCCCACCGGAAGGGGCGAGCACCCGTCCTTGCCCCAGGAGGCAAGACCCGCAAGCGTTTTGCACACGCCCGCCCGCCTCGTTCTTCCGTGTGGCCTTGCGCCGCCGCGGGCCCAGGGCAGCGTGAGTGGTGGGCCGGCCGGGCCGCTGCGATCCAGCCTCCTTGGGCGCGGCTCTCCCGTGGGAACCGGGAACCGCCGGGCGCTCTGGGAGGGCGCCCGGGAGGGGCCCCGACCTGACCTGAGACCGCAGCCCCGGGCACACCCCCGGCGCGGCCCGCAGGGCAGCACGTACCTTTCCTGTGAGCTCGGCGACCCGCGGCACGGGCTTCCCTTTCAGGTGGCTCCTGGTCGGGGGGCTCTGCCCGTCCCAGTCGCGCAGCTCCTCGATGCCCTTCAGGTACAGCAGGGCCCGGAGGCCCGTGCAGTAGTCGTCGATCACGGTGAAGTCCTGGTTCTGGACCGCACTGCACACCTGTGGAGGACGACAAGCGCAGCCGTCAAACCCAGGGCTCGCCCCGCAAAGCGACGCGCGCTCGCCCTCTCCGCGTGCCGGGCACTGTCCTAGGCTGGTCACGGCCCAGCGGGAGGGGCGCGGGCGGGAGGGGCTGTCGGGGCCACAAGGGCACTTCCGGGGACGAGGAACAAGGCTGAGGGGCGGCGCTCTCACAGGCGTGGGTGTATTTTTCAGAACTCGCCGGCGCGTGCGCTGGGAACCTGTGCGGGTCGCCGCGGGTCCGGCGCGCCCCGGGAGGGCTGTTCAAGATCGGCCCGAATGGCTGAATTTCCGGGGAGTCCACTTGGGCGCCACGTGAACCAGACCTGCGAGCCTGCGCTCCGTGTCCACACGGGCCCTGCGCCTGGACGCGGCCGCAGGGACCTGGAGGGCCGCTTGTCACCGTCACTGACTCAGCCCCCGCTCGCCAGGGCCTCGCGGGCGTTCTCCAGCGTCTGCGGCGCGCCCAGCACCCAGCACCCAGCTCTGTCCTCCCGGCCTCCTGTGGGTGCCCTCGCTCTTTGCCTCCAGGCCTCTTCAGGAGGCCGTGCTGCGGGCCTAGTCCCGTCGACCCGCGGCCAGGCGCCCGCCCTGCGTCCGCGTCTCCCGGCGAGTACCGCTGCTTCAAGGGGGCCTCCGGGAGCCAGAGGCATAAGGCTCTCTTTAATTAAAAAAAACATGTTTCAATTATAGCTCATATTTAATGTTATTCTGTATTAGTTTCACATGAACAGCCAAGTGGTTAGAAACTCCTGCACCGTACTGAGCGGTCGTCCCACACACACGGTCCCCGCGACCTCACGGACTGCACTCCCTGTGCGGGACTTCGCGTCTCTGTGGCTGTCCTGTTGCCGCTGGTTTGTGCTGCTTCATCCCGGCGCCTCTTCCCCCAGCTCCCCAACGCCCCCCCAGCTCCCCAACGGGCGCCCCCCCCCCAGCCCACGGCAACCAGCAGTCTGGCCTCGGCACCTGTGAGTCTCCTTCTGTTTTGTTGGCCCGTTTATTCGGTCACTTGAGGCTTTCTTGGACTCACACACATTTGGTTCACCATTACTGCCTGATTATCGGACGGGCCGCTCGCGCCCGCGCAGCCTGAAGCATCGGCATTTACCCTGGTCAGCCTGCTGCCCCCGTGACCGGCACAAGTTCGCCATTTGTGGCTGTCAACAGACACGCATTGACCGAACAGATGATTCGAAAGGCATAGCTTAATTTGAGTGACCGAGTCAGACAATAGAGACGTACAGGATTCTAGAGGTAAGGAAGATGGAATCTTTTCATTAGGATCCTTCTAGAAATAAAACTACCGGCGAGGCTGTGTTAGGAGCTGAGTTACAGCCCGAGCTGACGGGACTGAGAGACACACCTGTGGGCTGATTATCTCCAGGAACAGCTCGCCAACCCTGACTCCACGTGGGGACCCCGGAGACTCATTTACAGCTCCAACCACCACTGCACATTCACGATTCACAATGCAGAACTGAACACCCCTCCTCATCTATGTTCCCAATCGATCCAAAGGAGAACCGTCCAAACTAAACTAAGCAAAGCAAAACTCATTTCCATCCCATTTCCACAGATGTTAAATTCTTAGCATCTACCACCGCGCCTGGCCGTGGCGGTCAATTGAGAAAATCTTGTCCTGTGTGAACGAAAATGAGGAAACACCTGAAAACAGGAGACTAAGATTCTGTGTCAAGGTCTCGCAAAGCCATCTGGGTCTCTCGTTAATGAGCCTTGTGATAACGGGGAGCCTGGTGTCCCACCTGACGCCCAGTGCGGACAGGCTGGTTCAGGGAATTCACCGCACACTGCGGGGCTCCAGAACAGGCGGTGGGGAGTGCAGAGACAGGGCAGAAGAAACACACGCGTCGGCGTTTTCAGCAAGAGCTGTGAGCGACTCTGTGACGTGCATGTGAAAGAAGGCCGCGCACCGGACTCTGGGAACACGAACGAATAGAAGAGGAAGGCTAAGGAAGGTCATGAAGGACATTGGGCAGACGCGTCCCTGACAGCATCTGGGAAGACGTCAAGCGCTGCGTGCAGACTGGTGACACCAAGGCTGGAGCGTGACCACGGGGCTGAGCAATCAGGAGGACGTGGACCACACGTGTGTCTACAGGGCGCAAGGCCTGCCCCCTCACAGAGGCCCTTCCGGGGGGGCTGAGGGATGGGCGCGGTGGGGACCCAGAGGCTGGGGCCAGGCAGCCCTTACGAGAAGTCTGGCTCCAGCAAAGAGAGAGGAGGGTTCGGGGCGCAGGGAGGGGTCTTTGTATCTTCTGAAAGGATGGGACCGCGATGCTTTAGGGCCACGTGGCCATCTGACTTTCCGGAATAGGACAGAGTGACTTCTGTGTATCACATTCCGGTCAGGGTTGGCTGAACGATGGTGCAATGAAGAAAATTCGACACCCACCACGACATGAGCTCTTACTAGAGGACGGGGGCTCGTTAAACATTTTTAAATGTGTTTTCTCATTTAGTCCTCAAGTAAGCCAAACAGGCAGGTTTAATTCTTAGCCCTACTTTACAGACAAGGAAACTGAGTCAGAGAGAAGTTAAATGACCTGCCCCGGGCCAGCTGGTTAGCAAGTGGGGGAGTCAGAAACATGACCACCCAGTCTCATGTGACTGAGATACAGAACTGATGGAGAAAAAACTGTTCTAATGTAATTACAATGATCTCTCCCTTCATCTGTTCCATGTACCAAGTACATATTTTTTTAAAAGATCAAATTATCTTCAATCCAAATATAACCATTGACTTGAAAAATCCATATTGCCTGATGAAAATTGTCAATGTTCTCCAATTTCATTTACCTTCTTTATTAGAAAAAAATGAAAAAGCAGAAAAAAACCCCTTTCGTTTCCTATTTTGAAGTGCTCTATGTTACTACAATGTCAGAAAGAACATTGAATAACCACTAAATACAGAATACAGACAAGAATATTTTCTATGAAGCCCATTTATGTTACATTTTTAAAAAATCTGTGTCTTAGAGGGAACAATTTAAACATTAACTAGGCCTGTTGTAACTTTCTTAGAGTTGATTCCTCCCTGCCCCGAACAATTATAAAAAGCATCTTTATAATTTTCTCCACAGGATTTTTTTTTTTAAATTGTAAAAGTCAGCTAGTGCTTTACTTAGTCCTCTTTGCTCGCTGTGAAATTCTATTTTTTGGTAGGATGATGTGCTATGGGTCTACTTTTATTATTATCTCAAAACAGCTCGCTACAGACATAACACAATTGGCCTTTGAAAACCCCACGATGTCCTGTCCTTTACGGGATGTTCATGACAGCTGCAGACACCTGCCACTACAAGGAACCTAGACACGTGGCGATGCTGAAATAGTGAGGTTTCATTTCCGCCACCCCTGACTTTCCGCGGTGAGAGCTCCACAGGCCGCTAACTCTCCACCTGCACAAACGGGGCGCGACCGGTAGGGCAGACTCCGCCCCGTGGCGCAGACGTGGCCGGAAAGCAGCGCTGGAGCGTCCGCCAGGCAAGAACGCCGCGGGCTCGCGGCCGGGGCGCGGGGTGCGGGGCGCGGCGGGCCCACACCGCCCCGTGAGCGTGAGCGCGTCGGCCCGCGGCGCTGTGTTCACGGGACCGGGACCTACGCCGAGTGCGTCAAGGGGACGTGAGCGGAAAAAGGCGGGGAGACGGCCAGACGAGACTGAGCGCGGCTGGGACGCGGTGCCGTCGGGGACCCCGGGCGCCCCCAGCAGACGTGCGTCCGGAGGGGACACCTGGAGGTAGGTTTAACCGCATGGCACGGGTCACACTCCTTCTCTACCTTCCTTAAGTGAGTGATTGGATTTTTACTTTCCGATAAGATTACACGTTAATTTTCCTGACAATTTCTGGCAGGAGGAACTTGGCACATTGATGTCTTTTTAAAAAATTTTAATATCCATATAAATTATCTCGAGTGCTTATTTAAATGCAGATTCTGCGTCTGCAGGTTTGGAGGGAGGCCCAAGACCCTGCACTTGTGACAAGCGCCCAGAGGGTGCCGGTGCCGCGGGGCCACACGCGGATCATCGAGGCTGCGCGCAGCGGCCGGGAGGAGCCTCGTCCTAACGCGAAATGCGGTCCGCAAAGCACTTTTCTTCTCGATTTGTGCTATTAGGTTCGAACCACATTTTCATGGCCCTTAAGAAAGCACTATGTATAATAGGAAGTCACGTCTGAAGAAACAAGAGTGCTTTTCTGATTAAACAGTAATGAGACCCCAGATGAATCTCAGGGCGTAAACGCAGCTTCGGGAACAGGGCGCTGGAGCTCAGCAGGTGCTTCTACTTGCCTGCCCTTCACTCTCTTGCTCAGAGGTAAATGGTTCCTCCTAAAGGTCCAAACGTGTCGCTGCTCTTCCTAAACGGTGTATTTTATATGACATCTCTTAATTGTTTGTTTAACAGCCCTGATTAGGATTCTTAATAGTGGTTAACGTGTTTGCTCAGTATAATTTGTGAGTTCTTTATGGCAAAGGCTGGTTTATCTCCCTTCGCAGCAGGGCGCCAGGTGCCATTATAAGGATCGCTGCCGTCATTAATTATTTCCAGAGCGCGAGGGTCCCCGCCGTGGGCTGCCTGGGGTCCGCGCCCCTGCGTTCTCAGCAGGACCAGCCTGTGTGGGGCGTGCAGGAGGGGCCCCCGGTGCAGTGTGGCTCGGGGTGTGCCATAAAGCTCCCACTGCCGCCAAATAAATGGCCCCTCCAGAGGCGTGACACAGTGCCCTGAATTCTCACTTTCGGTGCAGGCACAGCGAGGGGCAGGCTGTCCCTGCCAGTCCCGGACAGGCGACAGGTAGGGGGCACCGCTCCTTTCGTAGTATTTCTCGTGAAATGGGATTAACCCCATGAACAGTAAATTTCTGACTTATGATTTACATTATCAAAATATCCTTTCCACGCATTATGTTCTTTACTGCTCAGAATAAGCCTACAAGTGAGGCAGGAGGGAGGAAAATTCT